CAAGTGTGAAGAGTGTGGGAAGATCTTTCCCCGGGAGGACAACCTGAGCCTTCACCAACAGATCCACAGGGGGATGCATCCCTACAAGTGCCCTGACTGCGGAAAGAACTACCGGGATAGCTGGAAACTCCTGCATCACCGGAAAACACACAGCAAGGAGGAGATCTTTCCCTGCCCCACGTGTGGGAAACGCTTCTTCCGTAGATTGAACCTCATCAGGCACCAACGAATCCACACAGGAGAGAGACCGTACGCCTGCTCACACGACAGAAAGGGCTCGCAGCAGAGTTCTTCTCTCGTGAAGCGTCTTTTAACTGTCCACAACGGTGAGTCCTCGGTGCCTAACCATGTATGAGGGCGTGTTCGGGAATAAAATGGAGAGGGAGGGATTTGGGGGTGGGGGTTGGCCAGATTTTGGTCAGGAACTGGCTGGGCATCCATGTCCCCATAGGCAGGGGTCACTGATGGCCTTGTCATCTTTCCTCTGTCTGTCTCCTGCTAGTGATCTGTTTTTAACTCCACCCACGGGTTTTCTGGCTTCTCCTCTACTTTTCCCCTTCCCGGGTTGACCCACAGTGGGTGGGAGCAGCCAACAGCCCAACCCTGCCCCACCCTGATGTGCCCCATCTCCATCTCAGGCCTTAGAGGTGGGTGGGGGGAGCTTTGGGGGCTGAAAGAAGGGAACAATTGTGGGCAGGTGTCTGTAGTGAAGAAGGGGGCGGTATGCGGAGGGAAGAGTAGCAGGGAGGGGAAGGATGGAGGAGGATGAGGAGTATCAGTAAGAGGGGACAGACAAAGACAGACAGACACACACCCACACAGAACCCCCGTGTCTTTACTCACCCACCAACACCAGAGGGCTTCAGGGGCTGGCAACACCATACTGGGTGGTACTGGTCTGGGTGGGAGCTGCTGGAGGAGGTGGGTGCTCTTCATGGGCCGTAAGAGCCCCCAGCTGAGCCCCTTTGGCCCCCCACAGGCGCTGGGACAGAGGAGCAGAAGGAGGAGCAGTGCCAGCCCAGGGAAGAGCAGAGGGGGATGCTGCAAGGGCCCCAAGAGGAGCCCCAGAGCCCCACGGTGGCCGTGGAGCACGATGGCCAACAGCAGCCCCGTGATACGCAAGGGAGCCGCGGAACAAGGAGACCCCGAAAATGCTTTTTCAAAGGGACGTGTGGTGAAGGGCCAAAAGAAGGTGCAACCCAACCACAGAGTCACTCCAGAAAGAACCAGAGGTACAAGTGTGAAGAGTGTGGGAAGGGGTTTGCCTGGGAGGGCAACCTGAGCCTTCACCAACAGATCCACAGGGGCATAAATCCCTACAAGTGCCCTGACTGCGGAAAAAACTGCCGGGATAGCTGGAAACTCCTGCGTCACCGGAAAACACACAGCAAGGAGGAGATCTTTCCCTGCCCCACGTGTGGGAAACGCTTCTTCAGCAGCTTGAACCTCATCAAGCACCAACGAATCCACACAGTAGCGAGGCCGCACAACTGCGCACACTGCGGAAAGAGCTTCCAGCTGAGATTTTATCTCATGAAGCATCTTTTAACTGTCCACAACGGTGAGTCCTCGGTGCCTAACCCTGTATGAGGGCGTGTTCGGGAGTAAAATGGAGAGGGAGGGATTTGGGGGTGGGAGTTGGCCAGATTTTGGTCAGGAACTGGCTGGGCATCCATCTCCCCATAGGCAGGGGTCAGTGATGGCCGTTGCATCTTTCCTCTTTCTATCTCCTGCTAGTGATCTGTCTTTAACTCCACCCATGGGTTTTCTGGCTTCTCCTCTTCTTCTCTGATCCTGGGTTCACCCCCAGAGGGTGGGAGCAGCTAACAGCCCAACCCTGCCCCATCCCGACCTGACCCAGCTCCACCTCAGGCCCTAGAGGAGGGTGGGGGGACTTTTGGGGGCTGAAAGAAGGGAACAATTGTCGGCAGTGGTCTGTAGTGAAGAAGGGGGAGGGACGCAGAAGGAGGAGTAGCAGGGAGAGGAAGGATGGAGGAGGATGAGGAGTATCAGAAAGAGGGGAGAGAGGGATAGACACACACACACACACAGAGCCCCTGTTGCTTTAGGCACTCACCGATGCTAGAGTGAATGCAGCATGTGGCAGCACCGTACTGGGTGGTACTGGTCTGGGTGGGAGCTGCTGGAGGAGGTGACTGCTCTTCATGTGCCTTAAGAGCCCCCAGCTGAGCCCCTTTGGCCCCCCACAGGCGCTGGGACAGAGGAGCAGAAGGAGGAGCAGTGCCAGCCCAGGGAAGAGCAGAGGGGGATGCTGCAAGGGCCCCAAGAGGAGCCCCAGAGCCCCACGGTGGCCGTGGAGCACGATGGCCAACAGCAGCCCCGTGATACGCAAGGGACCGATGCACCAAGAACACCCCAAAACCACTCTTTCAATGGGACAGGTGGTGAACACCCAGAAGAAGGTGCAACCCAACCACAGAGTCACTCCAGAAAGAACCAGAGGTACAAGTGTGAAGAGTGTGGGAAGGGTTTCACCCTGGAGAACAACTTGAGCCTTCACCAACAGATCCACAGGTTAATGAATCCCTACAAGTGCCCTGACTGCGGAAAGAACTTCAGGGATAGCTGGAAACTCCTGCGTCACCAGGGAACACACAGCAAGGAGGAGATATTTCCCTGCCCCACGTGTGGGAAACGCTTCTTCAGCAGCTTGAACCTCATCAAGCACCAACAAATCCACACAGTAGCGAGGCCCCACAACTGCGCACACTGCGGAAAGAGCTTCCAGCTGAGATTTTATCTCATGAAGCATCTTTTAACTGTCCACAACGGTGAGTCCTCGGTGCCTAACCCTGTATGAGGGCGTGTTCGGGAGTAAAATGGAGAGGGAGGGATTTGGGGGTGGGGGTTGGCCAGATTTTGGTCAGGAACTGGCTGGGCATCCATCTCCCCATAGGCAGGGGTGAGCGATGGCCTTTGCATCTTTCCTCTGTCTGTCTCCTGCTATTGAACTATTTTTACCTCCATCCATGGGTTTTCTCGCTTTTCCTCTGCTTTTCCCCTCCCGTGTTCACCCGCAGAGGGTGGGAGCAGCCAACAGCCCAACCCTGCCCCATCCCGACCTGCCCCAGCTCCATCCCTGGCCCTTGAGCAGGGGGACGGGGGGGAGACGTTTGGGGCTGGGGATGAAATTGGGGACCAACTGTGGTTTCTGGTCCAACATGAAGAAAGTGGAGGGATGGGGAATGCAGAGGAATGGAGGAGGAAGAGGAAGGATGAAGTACCAATACAACCAACAGAAATGCTCTTACAAAGGGCCATGTGCTGATTACATTCCAGAAATTGTAACCCAACCAACGAGTAGACCCAGGAAGGATTACCTGTGCGAGGACTGCGGGAAGGTTTTCACCCGCGTGTGCAAGTTGAAGGAGCACCAACGGATTCACACGGGAGAGAAGCCCTTCAAGTGCCAGGAATGCGGGAAGAGCTTCAGGGAGAGAGGGACACTCCAGCGTCACCAGAGGACACACACCAAGGAGAAGCCTTTTCCCTGCACCACCTGTGGGAAACGCTTCTCCTTTCCGTCAGACCTCACCAGGCACCAACTCATCTACACGGAAGAGAGACCGTACGCCTGCTCAACCTGTGGGGAGAGCTTCCAGCAGAGTTGTCACCGCTGGACACATAATGTGGCGGAGCGCAAAAGTGAGTCGTGGGAGGTGTGCGCTGTGCGTGACCCTGTATCAGGTCGTGGTCAACGATAAAATGGAGAGGATGGGTTTGGGGGTGGGAGTTGGCCAGATTCTGGTCAGGAACTGGCTGAGCATCCATCACCCCATGGGTGGGGGTGAGCAATGCCTGTTACAATTTACTTTGTCCCTTTCCTGCTGTTGAACAATTTTTCTATCCCACTCACAGGTTTTCTCATTTTTCCTCTTCTTTTCTCCTCCCCGGGTTCACCCCCAGAGGGTGGGAGCAGGCAACAGCCCAAACCTGCCCCATCCCGACCTGACACGTCACCACGCTCGGGTGGCCTTGGGGCTTGTGGGAGTTTGGGGGAGTGAAAGTGGGGACAAAGGGTGGGTGCTGGTCCAGGGTGATGAAGGGGGACAGATGGGCAGGGAGAGAAAGGGTGAAGGAGGATGAGCCACGCTGTCAGTACGAGAAGAGACACACACTGACCCATGGGACCTGTGCACATGCACTCTCACGTCCTTACACGCTTGCACACACCCACACACAACACAGTCCCCACACCTTCATGTGTGTATGCACACAAACACACACACAGCCCCTGTGGTTTTACGCACTCACCGATGCTGGAGTGACTCCAGCAGCTGGCGGCACTGTACTGGGGGGGTACTGGTCTGGGCAGGAGCTGCTGGAGGAGGTGGCTGCTCTTCATGTGCCTTAAGAGCCCCCAGCTGAGCCCCTTTGGCCCCCCACAGGTGCTGGGACAGAGAAGCAGAAGAAGGAGCAGTGCCAGCCCAGGGGAGAGCAGAGGGGGATGCTGCAAGGGCCCCAAGAGGAGCCCCAGAGCCCCACGGTGGCCGTGGAGCACGATGGCCAACAGCAGCCCCGTGATACGCAAGGGAGCCGCGGAACGGGGGAACCCCGAAAATGCTCTTTCAATGGGATTCATGTTGAGGACCCTCAAGAAAACACAACCCCACCACCGAGTATCTCCAGAGAGAAGGAGGAGCACATGTGTGAGCACTGTGGGAAGGTCTTCCTTAGGAGGGGCAACCTGACCTGTCACCAACAGACCCACTCACGGAGGGTTTCCTACAAGTGTCAGGATTGTGGGAAGAGTTTCAGCGAGAGGTGGACACTCCTGCGTCATCAGGGAACACACAGCAAGGAGAAGAGATTTCCCTGCACCCTGTGTGGGAAACGCTTCTCCTGTAGCTCGAACCTCATCAGACACCGACGCATCCACACGGGAGAGAGACCGTACAGCTGCTCCAAGTGTGGGAAGGCCTTCCGGCAGAGATGTCACCTCTGGACGCATCATTTAGGCGTCCACAAATGTGAGTTGTCGAGGGGTACTTGGGGCATAACCCTGCATCAGGTCATGCTCAGCAATAAAATGGAGAGGAAGGGGTTTGGGG